GACTTGTCACTGAAGGCCAGAAAAGAAACAATATATGCTTACCACGGAAATTCTTTGTGGGATCCAAGGGTGTGTGCTGAACACTAGGTCTCACGACGTGTCTCACCCGCCTTCTTCGAGTTCCACCAGGCTCTGATGGTTTTTTCCCGACGTTGCTTCCCGAAAGATCTTTTATGGCAGAGCCTCTATCAAAGCGATGGTGTGCTCTCCATACTTCCGCTGACCAAAGTAATGTTCTGCACTCTTTCGGGCGAAGCCGCAAATTTTGCGAACTCTTTCTGCATGCCCTGTGGCTGGTAATCATACCTGGTAAATAGTCATGATCAACTGCTGGCGTCATAGACGTGAGATTGTGCCCACCGCGTGCCACGTGAAATCAAGGTGTATGTCACCAAGTGCCATCAGTGAGGCGCCTGCCACGCAAAACGACCTTGCATGTAATCAAGGTGGACGTCACCAAGTGCCACGCCTGCCACGCAAAGTGCCGCGGCGTCACAGGCGACAAATCCGGACCAAGCGCGCCACCCAGTACCATGAGTGCCACGCCTGCCACGCAAAACGATGGTGGATGCGAGTTTTGTGCCACGCGTGCCACGTGAAACGAGGGTGGATGTCACCAAGTGCCACGCCTGCCACGCAAAGTGCCGCGGCGTCACAGGCGACAAATCCGGCCCAAGCGCGCCACCCAGTACCATGAGTGCCACGCCTGCCACGCAAAACGACGGTGGATGCGAGTTTGTGCCACGCCTGCCACGTGAAACGAAGGTGGATGTCACCAAGTGCCACGCGTGCCACGCAAAGTGCCGCGGCGTCACAGGCGACAAATCCGGACCAAGCGCGCCACCCAGTACCATGAGTGCCACGCCTGCCACGCAAAACGACGGTGGATGCGAGTTTTGTGCCACGCGTGCCACGTGAAACAAGGTGGATGTCACCAAGTGCCACGCCTGCCACCCAAAGTGCCGCGGCGTCACAGGCGACAAATCCGGACCAAGCGCGCCACCCAGTACCATGAGTGCCACGCCTGCCACGGAAAACGACGGTGGATGCGAGTTTGTGCCACGCCTGCCACGTGAAACGAGGGTGAATGTCACCAAGTGCCACGCCTGCCACGCAAAGTGCCGCGGCGTCACAGGCGACAAATCCGGACCAAGCGGGCCACCCAGTACCATGAGTGCCACGCCTGCCACGCAAAACGACGGTGGATGCGAGTTTGTGCCACGCCTGCCACGTAAAACGAGATGGATGTCACCAAGTGCCACGCCTGCCACGCAAAGTGCCGCGGCGTCACAGGCGACAAATCCGGACCAAGCGCGCCACCCAGTACCATGAGTGCCACGATTGCCACGCAAAACGACGGTGGATGCGAGTTTTGTGCCACGCCTGCCACGTGAAACGAGGGTGGATGTCACCAAGTGCCACGTCTGCCACGCAAAGTGCCGCGGCGTCACAGGCGACAAATCCGGACCAAGCGCGCCACCCAGTACCATGAGTGCCACGCCTGCCACGCAAAACGACGGTGGATGCGAGTTTTGTGCCACGCCTGCCACGTGAAACGAGGGTGGATGTCACCAAGTGCCACGCCTGCCACGCAAAGTGCCGCGGCGTCACAGGCAACAAATCCGGACCAAGCGCGCCACCCAGTACCATGAGTGCCACGCCTGCCACGCAAAACGACGGTGGATGCGAGTTTTGTGCCACGCCTGCCGCGTGAAACGAGGGTGGATGTCACCAAGTGCCACGCCTGCCACGCAAAGTGCCGCGGCGTCACAGGCGACAAATCCGGACCAAGCGCGCCACCCAGTACCATGAGTGCCACGCCTGCCACGCAAAATGACGGTGGATGCGAGTTTTGGGCCACGCCTGCCACGTGAAACGAGGGTGGATGTCACCAAGTGCCACGCCTGCCACGCAAAGTGCCGCGGCGTCACAGGCGACAAATCCGGACCAAGCGCGCCAGCCAGTACCATGAGTGCCACGCCTGCCACGCAAAACGACGGTGGATGCGAGTTTTGTGCCACGCCTGCCACGTGAAACGAAGGCGGATGTCACCAAGTGCCACGCCTGCCACGCAAAGTGCCGCGGCGTCACAGGCGACAAATCCGGTCCAAGCGCGCCACCCAGTACCATGAGTGCCACGCCTGCCACGCAAAACGACGGTGGATGCGAGTTTTGTGCCACGCCTGCCACGTGAAACGAGGGTGGATGTCACCAAGTGCCACGCCTGCCACGCAAAGTGCTGCGGCGTCACAGGCGACAAATCCGGACCAAGCGCGCCACCCAGTACCATGAGTGCCACGCCTGCCACGCAAAACGACGGTGGATGCGAGTTTTGTGCGCCTGCCACGTGAAACGAAGGTGGATGCCACCAAGTGCCACGCCTGCCACGCAAAGTGCCGCGGCGTCACAGGCGACAAATCCGGACCAAGCGCGCCATCCAGTACCATGAGTGCCACGCCTGCCACGCAAACAACAAAACACCAAAAAACGACGGTGGATGCGAGTTTTGTGCGCCTGCCACGTGAAACGAAGGTGGATGCCACCAAGTGCCACGCCTGCCACGCAAAGTGCCGCGGCGTCACAGGCGACAAATCCGGACCAAGCGCGCCATCCAGTACCATGAGTGCCACGCCTGCCACGCAAAACGACGGTGGATGCGAGTTTTGTGCCACGCCTGCCACGTGAAACGAGGGTGGATGTCACCAAGTGCGCCACCCAGTGCCATGTGTACCACGCCTGCCACGCAAAACGACGGTGTGTGTGTGTGTGAAGTGATTGTCTGTTAAGTTTGCGTATGTTAAGTTTGTGTGTGTGAAATTATTGTATGTGAAGTTTGTGTGTGTGAAATTATTGTATGTTAAGTTTGTGTGTGTGAAGTTATTGTATGTTAAGTTTGTGTGTGTGAAGTTATTGTCTGTTAAGTTTGTGTGTGTTAAGTTTGTGTATGTGAAATTATTGTATATTAAGTTTGTGTGTGTGAAGTTATTGTCTGTTAAGTTTGTGTGTGTTAAGTTTGTGTGTGTGTGAAGTTATTGTCTGTTAAGTTTGTGTGTGTGTGAAGTTTGTGTGTGTTAAGTTTGTGTATGTTAAGTTTGTGTGTGTGAAATTATTGTATGTTAAGTTTGTGTGTGTGAAGTTATTGTCTGTTAAGTTTGTGTGTGTTAAGTTTGTGTATGTTAAGTTTGTGTGTGTGAAATTATTGTATGTTAAGTTTGTGTGTGTGAAGTTATTGTCTGTTAAGTTTGTGTGTTGTTTGTGCTTACGGGGCGGCGGGAGGAGGAGAGAAGCCCGTGATCCCGAATCACACAACAAGAACCCCACACACGATGTGGGGAAAAACACATTTGAGCCTTTTCTGATTGCCGTATAAAGAACAATTGTAGAACGCAGCCCTCAGAGTTGCCCTGAAAGTCGAGCCTGACAGAAATCCCTTGAAGAAATCCTTCAGAAAATGGGTCTCGTAAATAGTTTGACGACTTGCCGCACTAAGCCACACAGCCATGGCAACCCTGGTGCTTGAGGCTCTAACGGTCATATGCCAATCTCGCCTTAAGAGTCATTCCAAATATGCTAAAGGTTTCACTTTGCTCCATATTTGATAATAACTGACAGCTCAAGTAGGTATGGTCTCTCTCATCGCATTCCGAAGGTCCACAAAGCTCCGTGTGTGTATATATGGTCCGGCCGTCGCCGGCAACCCCCCCCCCGCCCCCCAATGGTAAAAATCCCCCCCTGATCACCCCCCCTGGTATCACCCCCCCTGTATCCCCCCTTCCCCCGCCCCCGCAACATACTAACATACGTACGGACGTACGTACCGACATACCAGACATACAGACATACAACTACAGACATACAGGACATACAGACAGACATACATACATACATAAATACATACACACATAGATACATGCCTACCTACCAACCTACGTAGGTACATACATACTACACCCAACCCACCCCACAGGGGGGGGCGGGGAAGCATACCTACCTACCTACCTACCTACCTACCATACATACATACATACATACATACATACATCATACATACAGACAGACATACATACATACATAAATACATACACACATAGATACATGCCTACCTACCAACCTACGTAGGTACATACATACTACACCCAACCCACCCCACAGGGGGGGGCGGGGAAGCATAAATACATACATACATAACATAGCATAACATTACATAACATGACATGACATTACATTACATACATACATACATACATACACACATACATACATGCCTATACCTACCAACCTACGTAGGTACATACATACTGCACCCAACCCACCCCACAGGGGGGGGGCGGGGAAGCAAAGATACCTTGCATGATAGCTGGATTCCAGGGAGATAGTACACCCAACCCTAGGAACCATCACCATCGCGGGGGGGGGAGGGGGGGGTTGCAGGCCTGTACCATATAGATATATATATATATACATATATGTGTGTGTGTGTAGATTTTTTTGTACAGTCTTACAAATATCATGTTTCTCGATCATGATCCTCAAACTCCATTCATGACCAGCAAAATGTCAAGGGAACCCCGGAGAAGTTTATAGTATTTTATAGTTGTCTCTCGAAATCGTGGAATTGAGAAATCATGCCAAAAAAAGAATTAAAAATGTCATTTCCGATGGGGAAAGCAATGGTTTTGGGGCACCTCAACTTTAAGAACTCCCCTAATGTCCTCTAGATTCGACCAATGTCACTGCAAACTGGGGACGCAAGTGAGTTCTACCTCGACGGCTAGGATTGAAACCTGCAGAATGCAAGGTTATCCCATCCCCTACATGATATTCTAGATGGGTTGGGTATGATCAAAAATCTCTCTCTCTCTCTCTCTATCTTTCTCTCTCTCTATCGCCATGGGCAGAGCATTGGGGGAAGGGAGTAATTGTGAGGAATTCATTGCCGTTTTCCCAGATCTGACTCTTTCACCCGCCCGGTCTCCGCATGTCTCCGCCTTCAGCCCCCAAAGCAAAGATGCTGCATGTGACTCCGCCCTTTGCATAGCCTGCGCCACATTGAATGTAGGACGGACTGGGAAAGAACGGAGAAAGGTGAGACGAAAATTTGATGTTGTTGCACATGAACATAACAATGACAATAATGGCAGTACGGGAATGACAATAATGATGATTGTCAATAATGATGTTTAATGATAGTAAAAGCAAAAGTATGCAAAAGTGTCAACAGCGGTAAAAATGACAATGGTGGTGGCGATGGTGATGAAAATATGTACAATTAAACTACTCATAATGGTTATAAGTTACAATTTAATGACAAAATGATAATGACACTCCAGGGCTCCAGCAGTGTGGGGCCCACCTCCTATGGCAGCCACGTCTTCAGCCACAAAGGTGGAAAAGGCTGCGGAGTCGGCATCGATGCGGCAAACCTGCCGGGTTTTAGCCCACAGCTCCCCGCAAGAGATATCAGAAGCTATGACTCGAAGAAGTACCGCGGCGCTTGTAATTCAGTGACCAGGACATGTGGAAGAACCGAGAAGGACGTGAAAATATTCATGCCATCTGTCATCTTTCCAGTGATGTTTTCTTAGGAGGGCCGCTGCAGGGCCAACCAATACACACAATAGTGTTCACATCCCAAACTCCACAACTCATTTTTTGACATTACCCTTCAAGTTCCACGCGCGCGCCCAACGGTACTAGCAGCTGTTAGATTTAGAAAGTAGGAGGTTGTATTTCTTCAGTGTCAGTGTGTCATAAGAAGCGGGATTACTTGTGCAAAGCTCATTCAGCCCTGTTTGTGAGGCTTTTCTCACTGGGATGTGAAAGTAGCCATAGCAGGGGACATGACAATGAACTGGTCCACCCGCTTGAATTGAAATTACGCTGGAAGAAGAAACTGGCTAGGCGTCGATTTAATTTTGTTTGCGCCTTGAACTTCATGCGTTTCACGGGATTGCTGGACAGAACGCTCTCCAATCGCGGCACCAAACTCACATTTGGGGCCATGTTGCAAACCGAAGGGGGACGTGGCAGGGCCAACAAATGGCCCTTCCAGAGCGTCGGAGCAAAGCAGCTCACGCGCAAACCGCAAATTCAAGTCGGGACGTCCCAGATCGAAATGCCCCAAGGCTCCAGAGAAAAACTTGAAAAAAAACAAGGTGATCGCACCCGAAAAGTTGGTTTTAATCAGCCTTGGCGGTGGAGGCTTCTGCAAATTCAACCCGGGACGTCCCAGCTTGAAATTCGGATTTGGGTGCCGGGGGTTGCTTTAACACAAGCTTTCCAAGGATAAATTTTGGCAAGGTTTTCTTAGGCAGCCGTCAGTGCACAAAGGTCAAGGCCACTGCGCGTCCATGTGTGCCCACATGGTATGTAAGGACGTCCTAGTTGTGAATTTGACTGTCACTTCAGCCTTTGCGTGCCCGACATTGCCCGACATTGCCCGACTACGTCCTTCATTATATAAAGAATTTCTGGCTGAAACTGATCACAAGAACAATATCAGGGGGCTTATAAGAAACCCGCAGGTGCAAGAAACAAATCGGCACACCTTCGACGCCCTTTACAGATCCATTCCAGACACTGTAGACATACGTTGCATACCCTCGCAAAAAGATTTTGGCTCAAATGCTGCTCAAGATCCAGCAGATACTCTCATGGGACCTTATCCATTCAATTTAAATGAAACTTAGTCCCACGCAAGTGCGTCACAAAAGTGAAGTGTGTGACATAATGCCTTTTTTGTTGGCCCTGCAGCGGCCCTCCTACGAAAAGATAGCTTTCAATCTCAACAGTCCACATTCTCTTGGCATTAAGATGCATTAAGAGGCAAGTCAGCAAGTCGCTTTTTTTGGGAGGGCGATTGCATGGTTCTTTTCAGATTTCCCCAATTGGAAATTGGACCAGCCCAGCCTTGTTGAAGCCCTGCAACTTTCCCCGCAGGATCCTCGAATCTGTGCAGCCCAAACTGCATTTCGTGATTCAAAGGTCAAGAAGGAAAACGAACTCACGAGAGACTCACAAGAAATACCCATCATTAGGTCTCTTCGCTTTTTGTTGGCTCATTAACATAGCGATTGAAAATTGCCATTTAGTTCGTGGATTTACCCATGAACGGTGATTTTCCATACAACTTTGTCACACACCATCTTTGACCCTCAACTATGTCACGCACCATCTTTCACACACCATCTTTGACGCACCATTTTTGACACACCATCTTTCACACCACTTTGTCACACCATCTTTCACACACCACTTTGTCTCACACCATCTTTCACCACACCACTTTGTCTCACACCATCTTTCACCACACCATCCTTCACACACCACTTTGTCACACACCATCTTTCACCACACCATCTTCACACCCAACTTTGTCGCACACCATCTTTCACCACACCATCTTTCACACCCAACTTTGTCACACACCACCTTTCACCACTTTGTCACACACCATCTTTCACACACAACTTTGTCACACGCTCTCTTTCACACACAACTTTCACACACTCACCATCTTTCACACACAACTTTGTCACACACACACCATCTTTCTTTGTCACACGCCATCTTTCACATACAACTTTGTCACACGCACACAACTTTGTTTTACTTCTCGATCCTCCACCGCCTCCTTTGTCTTTCCTTCCTTCCCCGTCCCCGCTACAACATTTGGCGCTCATTATTGGAAGAAGTTGCCTTGTGGGGTTATCCGGTCCTTTAATTTTCTTTGAAGCCAGACACACAGTCAAAGTAGCCCCCCCAAATTCAGTGCTTCAATGATTCATGTCATTTCCCGCATTAAAACTTGCATAGATTGGGGTAGCCTCTGGCAGTTTAACAGTTTGCTATTGAAAATTGTCCCGATGAAATAGCTTGATGATTTACCAAATTAAATATGGTGATTTTCCATATAGCATCATATAGCTATGGCTACGCAATAAATTCCGAGAAGGTACTCATCTTAAACGCTACTTTTTTTGTTAGATTAACAATGGTGAACCACCAAAAAGCACCAAGCACCGTTCCATACCTTCCCCAGAGAGGATCTCAACTCTTCGATCTTTTTTTTCAAAGTATTTATCGCTCAAGAGCTACAACAGCTTGTGAAATTCGGCCATGACATGATAAATCACTTTTGATTTCTTTTTTTTATTTCCAATATAACCCAACCATCCCTTCCCATGGCGGCGACAATCCTCCATCCCGGCTCTGTGGCGCGGGAGCGGGTGAAACGGGTGAGACAGCTAGCGCAGCGGCAAGCGGCTGAGGGCTGGAGGGTCAGCCCAGTCCAGCACGGCTGCCAAAGTGGGCGCGGTGCCGGTGGTTTGAGCCGGAGCCAGCCACACCCCGCCCAGCAACGTGCTGGCTGTTGCACGCTGGAGCGCACAGGCGAGGACCGCCCACCAGCGGCGGCGCCAGCCAGAAATGGCGGCTGCCCAGATGGCCGCTGGTTCGCGCTGGGCTCACACAGCGAGGAAGGTGCGCACGAGATCGTGGCACTCCTGGTCCCAGCGGCCGCCGAGTTCGGCGCCGAGCACGAGGAAGCGGTGGCCTCCGGCGCGGAGCAGCTCTGGGTACCGACGGTGCTTGCGGGCTCGTGCCAGCTGCAATGCGGTCCCGTCGTGGGTTGCCGCGCGGGGGAGAGGTCGCCCTGTGCTGGTGAGGGGCGAGACGACTGTCACGTCGCAGCATAGGGCCACGCCCAAGGCGGTGGCCCCGTGGACCACGAGATCGAGCCGGCGCCGGTCCTCGGGAGGAACGCCTGGCGCCGTGGTTCTGTTGAGCCATTGTTGGGGGACCACGCGGCCCTCTGGCCCAACTGCTTCACGGCAAATTTTGATCCAAGCCTGCTCCATGAGGTGTCTGCGGCGAGCTAGAGCGCCGGTTCGAGGGCAGGCGGCCAGGTGGTCGCCCAACGGGTCGACGAGGCGGCCACAGCCGTGAGTATTTGGCACTTGTCCACACCTGGCTGTTGTGAGCGGCAGGGGGAGCCGGAGGCGGCGCCGGAGGGCGATGGCCATGAGGTGGGGTGCCAGTGTGGTAGCTGGCTCCGTCGGGATGGCGGTGAGCCAAGCCCCGGCAGCCGGGCCGGATTGGGAGCGAACCAAAGCACGAGTCGCCGGTGTCATGGGCGGGAAACACCTCTTGCTCTCGGAAGGATGTAGTGACAGCGAGAGCTGCGGGGTGTTGCCAGCCGTGGCGCCATAGGCTCGGCTCGGATTCTTGTAGCGGTGGCGAGGGGACAGGGTGGGCCGCTAGGAGTTGGGCCCAAGCTGGCCTGGTGGCCCAGCCGGCTGCATCGAGGCGGGCGGCAGCCGCGACGAGTTCTCGGATGCATGGCGCATGCGGGTCGCCCTCTTGGAGCAGCTCCCGGCCGCAGGCGGCGACGATGTCCGGGACGCGGGGGCGCAGGGTGCCCAGCGCGTCTGTCCATCCGGCCCAATACGCAGCGGGGGATAAAAGCTCCGCGCTGGTAAGGCCGAGGCCACCAAGTCTGCCAGGCAGGGGCATGGCCGTTGTTCCCCAAGCAGGGCCAGAAGGGTGTCCCAGATGGCCGCGTCATGCCCCGTGGAGTATTCGAAGCACTGGGAGGGGGGGGACAGTACGGAGGATGTGTTGTGCGCGTGGTGCGGCGCAGAACAGGAGGAGGAGCCAGGCCGCTTGCAAGTCGGGGAGGCGCGGGAGCTCCTTGAGGAGCTCGGCTTCCGCGGCCAGACGGGCTTGCAAGTGGCAGGCGATGAACGCCGGGTGGCCGATCGGCACCCCCAACGCGACAAACCCACGCTGCGCGGGAGGCTGGTTTCCCACCCACACGTCAGGCCCCAGTTGATCTATGCCTGGGGGGGTGGCCCCGGGTCCTGGTGATAAACACGGGTTTTGCCAACGTTGGATGCGATGCCCGCGTGGCCTTCAATGGCGCGGGAGACGACATCGTATGCATGCCGGGCGTGGTCCCTGGTGGTAAGCACGCAGATGTCATCTAAGTAAGCATAAAGACGGTCGCCGGCCGGCAAGGTACGGGAGGCATGGACCAGAGCTTCATGCTGGGCCAACGCAAACAGTGCAGGAGCGAGCGAATCGCCCTGCTCGAGGCCTTCTCCTTGCACTATGTCATGCACGGTCCCCTGGTTGTCAAACCAGGAGTAGGAGGATTGTGCCCCATAGAATGCTTTGACGTAAGGCAGGAGCGCCGGGGTGCATTCGTGGACTTTGGCCAAAACGGCTGCGCGGGAGACGGTGTCATATGCGCTGCGGCCGTCCAGGCACACGACCGTGGCAGCCGGGTTGGCGTCGGTGCAGTATCGGAGTATGGTGGCCAGCGCGTCGGTGCCGGCGCGGGTTTGGAGGGCGAACTGGAAAGGCCGGGTGGCCAGGTCGAACTGGGTGGCAAAGTGGCGCGCCAGGACTCTGGAGGTCAGCCGGCGGAAGGCTTCTCCAGTAGCGATCCCGCGGATACCACCCCCAGGTTTTGTGAGGGCAGTTAGCCGCGCCCGGGCGAGGGCTTCGAGGACAGGCGCGGGCACATCGGCGTTCGCCAATTTATTGACCATTGCTGTGAGGTGGGCGAACGCTTCCTCGTCCTCGAGGAGGACTTTGTAGTGATCCATGGTGCTGCCGGAAAGCCCGGGCGCGGCGCCACGCTTCGCAGTGCGCAGCGCGTCGCCAATCTCTGCCGGGGTGAGGCGGAGAGGCGTGGCTGGCAGCGGTCGTGTCAAGTGGTCCGGGATTGGTCGTCGGAGTTGAGGGGGGCGGCGATCGGGATCCCTAAGGGCGGCCAACGTGGCGGGAGTGCCCGGCGCCAACGCTGGGTTGGTGAGAGTATGCCTGGCGCGGGATAGGTTGCCTTGGCGCACTTGCGCACAGGCTTGGGCATGACGGCGGGTTTGTGGGTTGACAGGAGCCGGGGACGCCGGCCGGGGGGCAGCCGGAGGGATGGCGCCGTAAAGATTTTCCCATGCACCCGCTTGGAAGTGGGCGGCACGTTGCAGAAGCGCCGCCCGACCCTCCGCGCCACGGTCCGGGCTGCGGTGGAGCAGTAGCCGGGGGATGAGCAGGAACAAGGTCCAGGCACGCTGTTGTTGGAGCTGCGTGGCCCGGCTTTGGGTAAGGATGCGCATGGGCACCAGGAAGGCGCGGCTGAGGTGGGCGCGCAGGAAAGCTGGAGGGGAACGTGTGACAGCGCACGGCCTCCGCAGTTCTGCGGCGAGGTCAAGGGAGTCTTTTGATTTCCATCACACTTGGGCGCTCGGATAACTTGAGTTTATGCTAGTTATGATTCGACTTTCTGGTTGGTGGCTTTAACCATCTTGAAAATTTTAGTCAATGGGAAGGATTATCCCATATATTAGGGAAAATAACAAATGTTCCAAACCACCACTCAGATTTATACCTAAAGGGGTCCACCTTCTAGGGCTTGAGCGCCAAGTGATTCTTGTTATCAACAAGAGCAAATTGTGCCTCAAAGTGGCAATTGATTGGGTAAAATGGGTTTGTCCAAAAAGAAATGGGATACTGCACTTTGGTCAACCCTCTTTTTCCAGATTAAATTGCAATTTTGGTGGGCATTCCCCATTTTCAGACAGGCCCCATTCTTTTCCAAACCGTTGGTTGCTGCATCACCATATTCTTCGGACAAATTCCCAAGGCAGGAGGTATGTAATTTCACCTTCTCAAATAGCATCATACTACAATTGAGCTCTCTCCAAGATTCAAAATCTGGGAATATTGTAACAAAGAACTTTATTTTTGGGCACCCTAGTTTAAGATTGACAAACCCATGTAAGGACCCCTTGCCAAAGGGCCAAATGGCCACACACCTCAAATCTGGTAGTCTGGGGTGCGGAAGAATTGTACATTTTCAATGCGATACAACTCAAGCCTCAACTTACCAAATCAAACCTAGGACATAATTTTCAGTGAAAAAAACAGTGGCAACTGGTCTCGTATACCATGTCTATCCATTCCTAGATGCTTGGTCGAACATCATATTGGCCCATTCATGGCTAAAGTCTAAAGCTCAATGATCAACCCCAAACCAAGCTTCGGCTCATTCTTCCATGGCCCTGGAGCAAGGCGCCTTTTCTTGCAGAAAGTTGCAAGTGGTTCCCATGGGTCATTCTGTCAACATGACATGTGCCGACAATAGGAAGGAGAGAGCTACACATATTGGAGCTGCAGCTGAATTGTAGAGCTGTCACCACAATAGTCTGGATCGCCCCAGGTAACGATTGACTTATCAGCCAAAATGGCGACGAAGGCACCCCCCACAGGACCGAACATGCCCTCAACTTGTTCCACATCCTTGAGCTGATCTTGAACTACAGAGCTGTCGCCGCCATAGTGTGGATTACCCCAGGTAACCACGGATGCATCAGCTAAGATGGCAGCAAATGCCCTTCCTGTGGCCTGAATTTGTTGCACATTCTGGAGCTGATCTTGAACTACAGAGCTGTCGCCGCCATCGTCTGGATTACCCCAGGTAACCACGGATGCATCAGCTAAGATGGCAGCAAATGCCCCTCCTGTGGCCTGAATTTGTTGCACATGCTGGAGCTGATCTTGAACTACAGAGCTGTCGCCGCCATCGTCTGGATTGCCCCAGGTAACCACGGATGCATCAGCTAAGATGGCAGCAAATGCCCCTCCTGTGGCCTGAATTTGCTGCACATTCTGGAGCTGATCTTGAACTACAGAGCTGTCGCCGCCATCGTCTGGATCACCCCAGGTAACCACGGATCCATCAGCTAAGATGGCAGCAAATGCCTCTCCTGTGGCCTGAATTTGCTGCACATTCTGGAGCTGATCTTGAACTACAGAGCTGTCGCCGCCATCGTCTGGATTACCCCAGGTAACCACGGATGCATCAGCTAAGATGGCAGCAAATGCCCCTCCTGTGGCCTGAATTTGTTGCACATGCTGGAGCTGATCTTGAACTACAGAGCTGTCGCCGCCATCGTCTGGATTGCCCCAGGTAACCACGGATGCATCAGCTAAGATGGCAGCAAATGCCCTTCCTGTGGCCTGAATTTGTTGCACATTCTGGAGCTGATCTTGAACTACAGAGCTGTCGCCACCATCGTCTGGACTACCCCAGGTAACCACGGATCCATCTGCCAGGATGGCAGCAAATGCCCCTCCTGTGGCCTGAATTTGTTGCACATTCTTGAGGTGATCTTGAACTGCAGAGCTGTGACCACCGAATTCTGGGCTGCCCCAAGTCACAATTCTGTCACCCCCGCAGCACCATATTGCAAAAGCTCCTGCTGTTGCTGCCACTTTGGGCTGTTGTGCAACAACTGTTAAGTGCGCTCCTTCTTGGATTCCCGCAGTGAGCAAAGAGTCCTCAGGATTGGTCAGGACGGGTCCCTTCTCTGTGACAAGTTTCAGAAATCCTTGCCTGAATGACTTCTGGACCAGCACTTTCAGGTCACCCACTGTAGAGTTTTGTGGAAGCGCCAGAGTCTCACCGCAACCACTCGGGAACGCGACATGTACTTTGAGCATTGCTTGTTCAGGATCCCAAATGGGGCCTCAAAACATTTAGTCACAAGGAGGCCGAAAGCCTGCCAAAAAGTGAGTTTATGTTGTTTTCGTGGCCAAATGATTTCCAATCGAACTAATCTAGCCAGATCTAGCCAGATTGAAACCTTGTGATGCACAATGCAGACTTTTGAAATATGTCTTTACATATCGACCTATCGAGCCACAAATGCCGCTGTAGGCGCAGAGATTTTGGTGAACCATCCTATTTGAACAGAACTCATCCAACATTCCGGCTATGACTCAAATAAAGGGAAGAAACGATAGAGTTGAGTCAATTTACCTGGCTGTCCCGCAAAAATGTTAGGAGCTTTTTGGAGCCTCTTAACCTTGACTATCCGCTGTTAGAGGGGGGGGTGATACCCATTTTTTTAACTATAAAATTGTGATATGTTGGAAGCTTTCGATTTTCCGGACACCGCAAACTTAGGGGTGCAGTTCCAGTTCTTCTTCTGGATATCGTAGTAAGTTGGACCAACATGTCCTAACTGATGGAGGTGACCAAAAATGGCCAAGTCTGCAATGACAATGATCTTAGCAATGATGGTCCGTTACTTGAGGAGGTTACCGCTAAGGAAGTTACCCTCTGTTGCTCCATTATTTCCATTTCCACACAATGGGAAGTTTTCATTTCCCAAAATCGATGGATCCTGGTAGAAAGGATTGATCTTTGAGAAACACTGCAAAATAAGCACCAGGTTGTATCGCCCATTGGCTTAAGCACCGGATAAACAGAACTCACAGGCTGAGCCTGGCTGAATTTCTCCCCAAAAAAAGGAATCATAGCTATTGACCTATGGCTAACCTTCCCATAACCTTGCCAATCTTAGATACTTTGCAAAAAATAGTTAGTCAGAACTAATCATTAGTATATAATAGAATATAGAACAAATTTAGATCCCAACCTTAGAACAAATTAATTTGCAAACTTTGTTAGTAGATAGCCCCATTTACCCCCTGGTTATTTAACATAGCTATGGAAAATGGTCCATTTACAGATGATTTATAAACTATAATGGATTTTCCATAGCTATGTTAAATACCCAGATGGTGACCATTAACCACCATTATTGGATTAATATTGAATTAACCATAGAGCTGGGTGTATTTTAATTAATCACTATTAAGGTTTTGCAATTGAACTGGGGTCTCTGGAAATGGATTCTTGGGTCTTTCCAGATCTTTTATATATGGTGGAATTGAATTGTATTTTAGGTACCTTATTATTTCCCCTATGAGGTAACCAATTGGTTGATTAAATGGGTATCATCTTACCATTGATTATTTGATGTATCTATTTGTCTTTTACCATGCTCATGGATAATCATATTATGTGCATTATTGTTTTCACTCTTAGGCAACCAATTGGCTGGTTAAATTGGTATCATCCCAGTATCGGTTACGATTATTTTTTCTATCATATTCTTTGGATTAACTGGGGTCCACTACCATTTCCTTTGAAGGGTACACGACCAATTGCTGGATTAAAATGAAATAGGTATCAACCAGACTCTTGTTTCTTCTAGGGTGGTCCCCCCCATATATCTTTGGTATAAAGCCACCAATATTATCCCTGATGATCACTATTTTTTTTCAAGTACTAAATTTCCCCATTAAAATCATTATGTCTAGGTCTACATCATATATCCTTTAAATGCAATGTCCAATTATGAATTTGCCGAACTCAGGGTGCAGAAATATGTTAGCCCGTTTACCAGAGGGTATCCAACTTCAAAGCGCCGCAGAACTCACGGCGTCCTGCCCCTGGAGGTGCCAAAAAGCAGTTGAAGGTCCGATGGATTCACCAACACCTTCGGTCTTGACCGCGCGCAAGCGCCACGGGTATATCTCTCAGATATCTGTCTGCATATCGTTAAAACATGGTTAAAACATGCTTAAAACATGGTTAAAAGATGTTCCGAACATGTTGAACAACCAACTGGTGCACAACATGGCACTTGAGGTAGGTTTTAACATCATTCAGCTTAAAAATGGGTGGCGTGAGCATGCGTGAGCTGCTGGACCATTTGCTGAAGAATGGGTACGGGTCAAAAACTTGCCACCGTTTTTTTGTACACCAACAAGATGTAGCTATGTGACGCTATGTCCATACCCCCATTCAAATGGTCCCATTGGTATCGACCCTCAGTCATCACCCCAATAAATAATATCCTCGTTCTAACTAGTTCAATGCCCAGTTCCTCTCGGTTGCTCTCAGTTACTTCATTCTTGCAGTATCATATCGCCATACGCCCCACTTGGTACCCCATTGTTCGCTGAGAATTCCCTTTTAGTCTGGTTGAAAGACTTCAAAAATCAAACAATTGAACTCAATTGAACTAAGATTCTTGATTTGAAAGATCTTAAAGGTATGGATCAAAATTGGGTACCCCAATAATTATTTTTCTTAATGCTAAACACCCATACCTTGAACCACTGAAAACGCCTCCATAGCCGTGAGCTTCTCAGGACTGGACCTGGCAAAACTCCCCGGAGTGAAGTAGTTTGGGATTCCTGGGTGTTCATCCCCAAATATGATATGAGAATGTATGAGAATGTATGATAGATAGGTTTTGAAATACGTAGGTTTTAGATGGTTTTAGATTGTTTTAGCTTATGTAAGTCCATCCCCCACATGTTAAAATAAGATCCAAGGCAAATGGCATACCAAAACTGGTTTAAAAAAATCCAACAACCATCAAATGTGAAATAGGGATATCATTTTAGATATCATTTTAGATATCATTTTAGATATCATTTTAGACATCGTCGGGCAACCTTTTACCTACTCCCAAAAAAAAGGTGCTATCATTGGGATGTGAAGCGCATGAACTCCAACAAGAACTGCTTGTGGATGTCCCAGTTGATCATCTCGGCGATCTTCAGATAAGTTGTACATGCAGCTTATGCATATGATGTGTGTGTGTTCAAAAAACTATGCACAATATGTGTTTTGTATGTACAGTATGTATCTCTATATGTCCGTGCTTGTGTCGCGGATAGCTTGGAGATAGGCTGTCCTTAGGTTGTACAGGCTGCGTGAGGATGTATGCTTTGCAAATGTTGCAAACATATGGTTTTCCTTTCGTCACTTGGGTTGTAGTCATTACCGGGCGTGGATCCTTCATAGACTATACGTATTAAAGTGACTCATGGAAGTTGAGCATTATATCACCAAATCTATTTGGGATTGTCTGGGGGCAGGATACCTCCGAAACTTGATGGTTGGTCCTGATTCTTCCTATTAAAACAACCATATATAACCATATTATTATATTGCCATATATTGCCGGCATACATGGGTATTCCTATTTCAGGCAAACCCAAATCATTGGCTAATCCATGCCAATCCCCTTTGCTGATGATGAATTTCCACAATTCCATTTTTTTTCTCCCCCAATTCCCCATGGTAAGCTCTTTTCGATGGTTAATGATAAACATTGATAAATGATGTTAGATTTGGTATTTTTGGTACCCTCCAGTAGAACTAATATTCTATGGAAACTGGCACTTTCATCCATGATTTTCCCTCAAAAAATGTTGAATTTCTGAAGCCATCTTAGTTTACCAAAGGGTATCCTCACCCAGATCCCTATTCCGACCTTTCGGCGCTTCCTTTTTGCAAGGGAACTTCTGCCCTGGACACCAAACCAAACATCTGAAGCTCGAAGAAAAGGACCTCCCAACGGGGCGTTAGAAGCGGCTGAGCGATTACAGCTCAGCCTCAGGAGACATCGATGGGGGTTGGGACATCATTGTCTCTTCGAAACATAGAGGTGCCACATACCGACATACCGTAGGATGGCATGATAGATGCCCAAGAACAAAATCTCCACCAAATAAAATATAAATGGGTCATAATAACAATAATAAGAACCGTAATATTCATCATAGTAGTACAGAAATAATAATCATCATAATCGTCGTGGTCGTCGTGGTCGTCGTCGTCGCCGTCGCCGTCGCCGTCGCCGTGGCCGTCGCCGTGGCCGTCGCCATGGCCGTCGCCGTCCTCGTCGTCCTCGTCGTCCTCGTCATCCTCATCGTCCGCGTCGTCCTCGTCGTCCTCGTCGTCCTCGTCGTCCTCGTCGTCCTCGTCGTCCTCGTCGTCCTCGTCGTCCTCGTCATCCTCGCCGTCCTCGTCGTCCTCGTCGTCCTCGTCGTCCTCGTCGTCCTCGTCGTCCTCGTCGTCCTCGGCGTCCTCGTCGTCCTCGTCGTCCTCGTGGTCCTGGTGGTCCTCATCGTCATCGTCATCGTCATCGTCATCGTCATCGTCATCATCATCATCATCATCATCATCATCATCATCATTCATCAATCATCAATCATCAATCATCCATCATAAATATTCAATATTCAATCATCAATCATCAATCATCAATCAACAATCATCAATCATCAATCACCAATCATCAATCATCAATCACCTATCACCAATCACCAATCACCAATCATCAATCATCAGTCACCAATCATCAATCTTCAATCATCATCATCATCACCACCATCATCATCATCATCATTCATCAATCATCAATCATCAATCATCAATCATCCATCACCAGTATTCAATCTTCAATCACCAATCATCAATCATCAATCATCAATCAACAAGCATCAATCATCAATCACCAATCACCAATCATCAATCATCAATCATCAATCACAAATCAGCAATCAGCAATCATCAATCATCAGTCACCAATCATCAATCATCAATCATCATCATCATCATCATCACCATCATCATCATCATCATCATCATCAATCATCAATCATCAATCATCAATCATCATCATCATCATCATCGGCATATTAGTACGAATATACCCCTATTATCATTTGCCTCAAATATGTCACATATGATTCCCCAGTTCTATTCCTTGAGAGTCCCCGAGGCGCGCACTGTTCCGTCCACAAGGGCGCAGCCCAGAAGTCCATCGGGCAAAAAGTGAAGTGCTGCGCAGGGCGCCTTGGGCCAAGTCCCGTAGCTGCTTTTTTTGCAGCAAAAATAATGACAGGACTTGAATCAGATGGATAGTCTATCAAAAGGATCTGGTTGCGAAACTCAATCCGTAGCTGTCGTAGCTCCTTTGCTCCCCAGCCATTACCTACGAATATGGATACCTATAGCTCCGAACAGCCACCGGGTAGTAGTTGCGTTCTTGGGTTCGTAGCCCAGATTCAGGCAGAACGTGCATTGAATAATTCTCTCCGCCATCCAAGGATTCTACTGGGATTGCACAAAAATCAGCCCCGCGCCTCCAGTCTCAGACGTGCAACTTCCAACAAGACCTAGGGCCGTGTCAGGGTGGCCTCACCATGAAGATGAAGAATGAACCACACAATGTGCTTAGACAGACAGAAAAGGATAGGACCCACATCTTCCTATCTATGTAGCTACCTTTATACATATCACTCTACAAATGTATACATCCATCTATCTATCTACCTATCTAAGTAGATAGATACGCTAGATACTAGTAGAAGCGCATTCCGCATTTCATTCACAGCTATGGCAGCAACCATCCAACATCCCCCAATTCCTAAGGACACCTTAAAATCCTTAAATGTTAGGTTATGTTGGCTTCAAAAACTGCCATATCTAACAGATTCTAACAGTGGGCTGCCCGACTTCCTCCTCGCGCCACAGCCTCAACTCGGCCCCACTGGAGCTGCACAATACCTGGCGCCGGGCGAAGGTCGTCGGAAAGTTGGGAAAGCGGCAAGTTTCAATGGGAACCCCCGCACATGTTACCATGAAAAAACATCAGTGAATCCCATGTTCCACGGAAAAACTGACAGATATAGATTTTTATGATTTTTGTTGGGTCATAACAAAGTCAAACGTCACCTGTGTTCAGTGGGAAAACCAGCCATTTTCGCCTGGGAAACGTCGCACACCTTCCATCAAGAACTGGATGCGGAACATTGGAGAACACCCGGTAAACCACTGGTTGTGTCTGAGTCGGGGAGATCCAGCGAAACATAGCGAAACTGAAGGTTGATTTCCCTGCGGGTTTCTTGCAGCCTTTCAGACCGAGACCCCGCCTCGCTTGCACCTCAAAGTGCAGCGGCTGGTAGTTGAGCCAATGAAAACAGGTAAGGATGGAGAGAAACATCTTGGATCAATTCAGAAAGAATGACCCGTTCCCCACGTTCATATAACATAAACCCCAAATGAAACAATGGAAATATATATATATATATCGTGGATGTAGGGGATGAAACCACACTAATATAGAAACCATACAATGGGAGTGATTGATATTGTTTAATATGGAGGCTTTAAAAGATGAGAACTCCACTTGAGGGTTCACCTTTCCTGCCAAGGCCCTCGCCGCTGCGCGCTAAATGTGTGGCGCCAGAAACCTCCCCAGAATCCGGAAGAAATGCGCTGAAGGGAAAATGGGGGAAATGTCCGGAAACACATCACTTCTACATGTGATGCCCCCCGCCCCACGTTGAAAAAAAACTAAAGGCTTGTGTTGGTGGAAGCACCACAAGATCAAAGGACTCGCCTGGTGAAACGCCTGGAGGGGCACCACATTGCCCTTTGCAACGTCAAAGTACCTGCGCACCCGGAAAGACGCGCCTTGTGGCCACCATGTGCCATGCCCCACCCCAAAACAAAGTACAACGTATACATGTTGAAAGGCTGGAGCCAAGAGGGATTCAATAATCCGTTGAAAACAATTTGGATGATTTGGATGTCCTTTTCACATTGGAAAGCCTTGTGATGGCCCATGTTCAGTTCAGCGTGATGCCTGTGGAGCGATTTAAGAACATGTAAGAACCTTCATGTCATACAGTTATTTTCGGCAAGGCAATAGCTAAGCCCGCTCGGCGAATCAGTTCGTACTGTACACCTTGGTCTTCACCATCCACTCCTTTCCGGCAAGACTTCTTCAGAGTTCAGTATGATCATAAGTTTCTGCAACGTCATTCCAGCCAAATGATTCCAAATGCACCAAATCAGCATAGCACGGGGTTAAACCTTGCCCCCCACCCCCATAAATGATCCAGTTTCTTGGCGATGTTCGGAGGCTCATGACATTTGCTGAAGAAAGGTTGCGACCCAAATCCCCCTTAAAAAAACGAGGACACAAAAGTGGGGGATACCCCAAATGACGGTAGATTGCAGAAATCCTATGAGATTGTTGTTTGAACACGACCCCAAGTTTTTTGTTGCACAAATCCCACCATCCGCGCACCAGATGGTGTTGGCCGCTGTGGCCGCCACACCGCGTTCTTCATGCAGCAGCCGAAGGCTTTGGATGTGACCGTCCAGCTTCATTTCTGGAGGTCAGGCACAGATTTTGAAGGTGAGACACCCTCCAAAAATGGCCGTGGAGGAGAAGTAGCCACCAGCCAAGCCAACTTCAGAACGCGCTAATATAAACCAAACAATATCAAACAATCTAAAACCGACCACACTTGCGATACAACTCATGAATACTGTAATCTTAAAAATGCCTGCGCAAATTGCTATCTTTAGCTGTTTAGCCAACAATAATGTGGATTTCACCATTTAAAAAACAAAACGAAAACTGTGGCTGTTTAAAGCTAACAATAGCCCCAAGGCCCATCACAGTATACACGGGGAGAGTTTCACCCGACTTTCAGATATGGCAATTGATTGTTACAAGGGCAGTGCGCTCACAGGGGAAGGGTAAAGCATGGTTTATGAGATCTTCATCCTACATCTGCCTGAGTTCAGCAGGGAAAAAAACGAAGATGTGGCAATCATTGCATCACTCACATGGTGAACCCAATTATAAGCCATCCCCGATGTATCCCGATGTGGGTTTATTAATTGTTGGCTTTACCACATTCAGAAGAATTTCCAGACATCACCAGAATCTTCAACGACCCAAAAGCCAAATCCCCACCGTGCACCTCCCACAGTTGTCATCGCACCAGCCAGGTCTATCTTCACTGCATGGAGCGAAGCTGACACACCCAGAACCAGCAAGGGAAAGCTGCAGGACACGGCTGTGACACCTCGCGAGGCGTGACTTGAGGCATCATCAATCGACGTGATATGGCAGTTTTACCCAAAAAACAAAGAAAACAGGAAGCACCTATTTAGGTGGCTGTTGGGGATAGCATTACTGTAGCATGTCAAGGGGGGCCACTTAGTGAAAATGGTCCAGGCAAATTGTGAGGTGCGTTTCTCGAGCCCACAATCAAACCTCGGCACTTCGCGAAGATGTCGGAGAATGGACCCCAACAAATACGCAAGCCCATGCCCCGAAAATCATCCCATTCCAGACCCAAGAGTTGGGAGGTTTCATGACATTTTCACATGGTTTCTCAAGATTTTTGCAGTGAAATTTCCAGCTCGATTTCCCAAGGTTCCAAGCCCCCCGGCCAGTTGTGGCCTTTGGCACCTGCAACCTTGCTAGGAAAGCGACGGGCGAAGTTTTCAGCAAAAAGATGCGAACTTTGCATATGTATGCGTATATTGGTATACGCTGAACTATATATCTACAGTACACATTACTATAGATGTGTAGTATAGAGCAAGAGAAGGAAGATGGTCCGCGAGTGTCAGCGACGGAACCAACTATAGGTGATTTTCAGAGTATTCCCGGTGACAGACTGTAAGTTTCTGGTAGTTCCGCAGCTATCAAACCCTTGAAACAAGCACCATGTGCCTTTTGGTTGTGCCACCGCTCCCCCAAAGGCGCCCACAAGGAGATGCCGACGTTGTCATCTACGTCGTGAACCCACAGCATACCTCGCAGCCAAGGTCAAGCGTCAAGAGTGATACTCCCCCCCAATTTCTGCACGTCACCAATTGCTATTTAAAAAAAAACAGGTTGCAGAATATTTGTTGTACATATCTATAGATGAATAATTTGATATATATTTGCATGCACATGTCAAGATACATGTGCATATACAGCCATGTCTATGTTTATGTCTGTATCTATATCTATGTATGCATCCGTATGTATCTATATAATCTATATTAGTCTACTGTACGAGTATATTGGTGAGGTTCATTCTATACTGTACATTTATCTGTATCTACAACCTGCATATCTGTATCATTCTATATCTATCCCTCGATCCGCTGATGTATCAAAGGCATTTTTTCATAATAGAAATCCCATCCCCAAAGTATTACATCCCACCAGATGGGTATATTTTATACTAGGGGGAAGGGATTATTAACAAAATATTGGCTAAATCAGTATAAACAACCCCCCTCAGCAACTTAGACTGTACCTACTCTCAATATATGTTTGCTCCGCAAGTCTCATGCCAAAGCAAAAGCCTCCAGCTGTAACCAGAAAGGCCAGCTGTTTCCTATCCTCCTCGAGCTCTGGGCCTGGCACAGTATAGCATGGTATAGCCAAGTAGGTCCACTGATCCACTGAAATCCATGGAAAGCCATGGAAATCCCACCAATTCTTCGGTGAAATTTTCTCTAATACCGGGGCGCCTCTTGCTACGAGGCACAGGTCATCGGCACCCTTGGACCAGGCGCCTGTTTGTGTGGCCATTGCCACAAAGCTGCCGTGCGTGAGGTCCCCAGCCTCAGAAGAGCCAAGCCATGGCGAACCCCTCGCGATTGATTCGGGTGCCATGGATGTTCATCGATGTTCATTGGCTGGTGGCAAGTTGGGCTCACTTGTTGGTCTCATGATGTTTGGTGGATCTTCGAAACTTGGAGGACCATCCCTCCACTTGGACCCCATTCTGCCCAGTCTTGTCAAAGTCGTTTGCATTGGAAAAATTGGGGTCATGTTCAAAGGTCAAAGCGGTTGATTTGCAGGCTAAATCCCCACGAGATGTCATTTTTTATCCCATTAAATAAATAGCATTAGATCCCAATTCAATCCCGTTAGATTTCATGAAAATCCCAATCCTATAAAATTTTGGGAGGGTTTAACTCGTGCCGCCCAGCTGGTACACCGTTGGGCACCACGGCTGGTGGCTCTGCAACTTGAAATTGCAAGCCTTAGAGCAACCGCTAGCACCGATGGTCGGCAGGTGATGATACTATTTCGAACGGGCGCGCATGAAAGTTAGAATATATGTGTATGTATACACTTTAAGCAAATAAATATTATGTGTAATATATGCATTGTGTGCTTTTGCATGTGCTGCAATCTGATGCATTCTATTTTTTAGGTAAGGTAAGGCAGGCATGAGTGCATACTGTGTACATCTATATATATATATTATGTATATGCACACCTTGGCAGTGTATATCCATACGAAACATGGGACAAACTGCAACACGAAGCTCAAAAACTTGTGGTTTTCAGTGCCCAAAGCAGTGCCCATCCAATCCAGCCAACAGTTGGAACCCGGCGGGCACAGCTGTCTTCCAGGTCGCCACCTGTCAAACAGCCGGCTCAAATGTGGTCAAATAAAGCAGAATTTATCCATTCCCTTCCCATTCAATTGATGGTATCCATGGTGATTTTAATCAAGGTCCATTGTGATTTTAATTTACCCATTCAATTGACGGTCAGAATTTGGTCCATGGTGATTTTAATCAAGTTTACAGTCTCTCTCTCTCTCTCTCCATTGCCATGAGTTTATACGTTTTACAAGGGTTGCAGAAACAATTTTGGGAATACAGAGAATGAATTCCATTGGAGATTTGTAATGGCAACTCTTGGCGCGGGAAAGTGGGAAAGGATACCCGTTGAAGCCAGTAAAGTAAATACCTCAAATCTTGCTTTAGTGTGGGAGACTGGTGCCACCTGATTGCTATGCGTTTGTGGGTGTGGAATAGTTTTTGGATTTTTGTTGCCTCTGGTTTTGGACTTTGTTTTTGGCTTTCTTTCCTGGTACCATTTGCCTTGTATTGGCAACAGTTTGGAACTTGAACCTGTCATTTTGCATGGTATTTGCTACATTTGGCCATGGCCTTCCATTTTGCATGATATTTGCTACGTTTGACCATGCTCGCCTTCCATTTTGCATGGTAGTTGTACAATTTTGGCACTTGAACCTCTCATTTGCATGGTATTTGCTATATTTTGGTACTTCAAACGTTGATGTGGGTTTCTTGAGGGTTCTTTAGGCTTTCATTTAGGGTTTCATCTAAGGTTTCATTTAGGGTTTCATTTAGGGCTTCATTTAGGGTTTCATTTACGGTTTCATTTAAGGTTCCATTTGGGGTTTCTTTAGGTTTTGGGTTTCATTTAATTAGGGTTTCTTTAGGATTTCATTTGCGGTGTCATTTAAGGTTTCATTTAGGGTTTCTTTAAGTTTAGGGTTTCTTTAGAGTTTCATTCGGTTTCATGTAGGGTTTCTTATCGGGATTTCAAAACGTTCAAATGTGTTTCTTTAGGGCTTCTTTAGGGTTTCATTTAGGGTTTCATTCAGGGTTTCATTTGGGGTGTGTTTAGGGTTTCTTTACAGGTTAGGGTTTCGTTTAGGGCTTGATTTAGGGTTTCTGTAGGGTTTCTTTAATAGGCTTTCCGTTAAGACTTCATGTAGGGTTTCATTTAGGGTTTCTTTAGGGCTTCTGTAGGGTTTCATTTAGGGTTTCTTTAGGGTTTTTTCATCTAGGATTTCTTTAGGGTTTCAATTTAGGGTTTCTTTAGGGTGTCAATTTAGGGTTTCATTTAGGGTTTGAGTTAAGGTTTCATCTAGTTTTTTTTCCAGAGTGTCGTTTAGGGTTTCTTGGGGATGTCATTCAAGGTGTCATTTAAAGTTTCTTTGGGGGTTCATTTATGGTTTCAGGGTTAAGTTATGGTTTCTGTAGGGTTTCTCATCAGGAGTTCTTTAGGGTTTCTTTGGGTTTCACCTAGGGTCTCTCTAGGGTTTCATTTAGGATACAAAGAGGAAAGAATAAAGCAAAGAGACAGTAAAGACAGGAAGCAAAGAAGCAGAAGAGCAGGAAGTAGAGCAGCAAAAACCCATGACTGAAGAAAAGAAAAAGTAGAATAGTAGAAGTAGAAAGGCAAAGAAGCACGAAAGCAGAGAAGCAGGGAAAACAGAGAAGCAGAGAAGCAGAGAAGCAGGAAAAGCAAAGAAGCAATGAAAGCAGAGAAGCAGAAAAGCAGAGAAGCAGGAAAAGCAGAGAAGCAGGAAACGCAAAAAGCAGCAAAGCAGTGAAGCAGAAAAAAGCAAAAGCAGAAAGGCAGAAAAGCAGAAAGGCAAAGAAGCAGAGAGGCAGGAAAGCAGAAAGGCAGAAAAGCAATGAAAAGCAGAGAAGCAGAGAAGCAGAAAAGCAAAGAAGCAGAAAAGCAGAAAAGCCGAGAATGAGAAGCAGAAAAGCAGAGAGGCAGAAAATCAGAGAAGCAGGAAAGCATAGAACCAGGAACCCGGGAAAAAAAAAAAACCTCCCCCAAAAAAAAATAGCCCTCCTTTTTTTGTTGTGCCGTGGGGTAATCAGCACTTCATGGACCTCCTGGTTCAGACTGAATCGCCCTCGTGAACCAACTCTGCTCCGCAATAGCTTTCCCGCAGGTTTCTTGAATCAAGCCTGAAATGGGTCAAGCTAAATGGAATTAAGATGAATTAAGTATTGATTCTACTCATGAATCAATTCTTGCAGTTGCTCACTGAGTTTTTTCATCTACGATTTAGCAGGTCCCAAACTCCCATGCAGCCGACATCTTTTGGACAGCGCAATGCTGGTGATCGTTCAGCGTCAGGAAATCTGTGGCCCCCAACGGATTTTCCATCAGAGGCCGGTGGCGTCCCTGTGTTCAGATGAAACTTCCACGTATGGTGGATAGACTGGGCGTCAAAAAAAGGAAACGTATAACGGTGGCGCATCACCTTGTCGAATGGGATGAAGGTTATTAATGGGTAGCCGGTAGTAGTCAACATTTGGGTACTTTAGGGCAATCTCCAACTCATGTTTCGGCCAAGACATCCCTCAGCTTTCATTCAAATTTCAGGTGCTCGCCATCAGCCGGGCCGCCCCCTTCCCAGCTTCACCGGCTTTATCTTTCCCTGCGGATGATGGCATCATGAACCTTGCTGGTCCCATCAATAAATGCCTCATAGCGGCCCTCGTAAGGGTTGCTGAAGCTTCCCTTCAGTGTGCCACTGTTGCCGTACCTTAGCGGCACATTCGCGAGAAGCGGCCTACACTCTACGACTGGAATTCTAAAGCTGGTGGCTGATCCAGTTGTTATTGTTCAAATCCCTGAACGGCCATTCTTCATGATAGCCGCTGTAAACATGCCGCTAGCATCACAGAATCCCTTATCACCGCAGAATATTGCATGTTGGCTATATATTATTTGTAAGGCTTGCTGGGCCATCCCCTTCAAGAATGCACCTTTACTTTGGCCGGCTCCTTCGCGTAGCTTTCGCGGAACTTTCGCGGAAATATCCCTTAGAGTCTTATGCGTGTATAATGATGATTCATAATATCCAACTTTTGCAACGTAAAATTATACATTCGCAAACTCAAACAAAAACCTCTCGCGAGGCTTCAACACATGAGGTGAACATTACATGAACCATCTTCGCCGTGTTAAGATGTGTTGAGGCTGCGGAGTTACATTATGGATGCAATGTGTATATATATATATATAGCCGCGTATGTGTGCATGAAGAAACCCAATGTGGCAAGGCTGCTCCACTTTTGTCAGTCCAAGCCGGCTGCTGCCATGGTGCTTGCCGGAGTGCCATGTGGCGCTGAAAGTGGCCTTCTCAGAATCCACCTGGATGTTGGACCAGGTGCCATAGGAGCCACCCTCAAAGGATGCCTCCTTACCCGTGACCGTCAGCACAAAGGAGTAACCCTGGCTGATGTCCACATTCCATACGCCTGGCATGGTGGAATCAGAAGGATGAACCTATAACCTGCAACCTCTGACAACTCGTCGGACTCCCTGTGATGAAGCTAAACAGTTTAAAGTCATACTCCAACCTGTCCAACAAATGAAAGGAGTCCTTTCATACAACCTCAACCAATGGTCTGGGATATGATGCGGCATGGGCTTGACTCATCCCCGAGGACCATCCCTTTTGCCACCACATGTTATAACCCATTGAAGGGATAACCAGCTGGGATAACCCCAGAAATTTCTGGGACCCAAAAATCCTGGTTTCATCGGCCTTCTAAGCTGAGATCCATCTTGACCAATTGAAGACTCCTCAGTGGGACCAGCCACCTGGGGGCTTCTGTTTCAGGCCTTGCCCAAGAAATGAGAAAACAGTATCTGTGCCATCCATGGTATGCAATGGTCATCCCATCCATGAGGGATTCTCCAGGGATACTCCACTTAATGGGCAGACGAACTCTGGTATATTATGGGAGCTGACCATGCCCTATCGGAAAATCAACCGCGTGACCATGGGACATAATCCCATCCGCCGAGATTGTCAAGTCCCAGCACTACCTGATGTGATTTCACCACCAAAACGATGGTGGGAGCTAGTGATAGCTAGTGTACCCTCCCCTCTCCCGACCTTGGCATCAAATACCTTAAATTCACCCATTCTTCATGATCCAGTTGGGGGTGTTCCTACAATGGGAGTACCCCCAAATCATCCAAAATTAGATCATTTGAGTATTGAAACCTATGGTTTTGGGGTACCCCCATGACTTCGGAAACCCCCAGTTGTTTCGGCAGTCTTCAAGGCATTCCCATCAATTTCCATTGTTCCCATGAGTAATCCCGAATGATCCTGATTTTTAGGGGGGTTATTCCCATCAAAACACTATGATTCTCCACATGTTCGGTGGTTGAATCACCTTAAATTTCAGTGTAATCCCATGAAAATCATACATGCGATGCTATAGTCCCATCATGTTCCAATTTGCACCACATTATTTGCCATCTGTTCCCATCATTTGTCTCCATATTTTCCCAGGCACATGTCCGCCCTGATGAGATCATTCGTCAAGGGCGCCCCATCCGCGTGAAGTGCCACCTGGCAGGGGTTCAGTCCCAACGCCTCCGCAGCACGCTTTTGCAGCTCCGCCACACCGTCGCCTGGAGCGGGGAAAAAAGGCCATCTATTTGACATGTTACGTACAGTACATGTTGATACATTTGTTGTCATTGATTTATCTCTTTATCATTTTATATATCTATGTGATTATTCATTCATCAATCTATCTGCTTATCATATTTCTAAGTTCTACATATCTATTCATCTATGTACATCTATGTATGTATCTATATGATTCCGTATGTTTTTCTAACGTAAAAAAAATGTATCTACACCTACCTATGTCACCTAGGTCTATATGTAAGTTGTTCTTTCAATGTATCCCAGAAGTATGTGCTGCTCTGGTTCTGACCAAGCCATTCCCCATCGCCCATCCAACTCCCTGTTTTGATGGAGTACAGCCAACAGAATTGTAGGTCTCTGCATCCCCACCAGCGGATGGATGTTGGCCCATGGTTGTTCGATTTTCGTGTAGAAAACATCATTTCAATGAGCAGTTGGTCACTCTTGGGGGGACCCTTCTTGATCTTAACCTTCATTAATCATCATTGGTGAAGCTGCGGATGAATCCGAAACATATGTAAAGCGCTTAGGTTTTAAACAAAAAACGCTGGCTTATCAGTCACCATGTTGGGGGCTCCTGACCCATTCAGATCCAATGACCGAAGCCACAGCGGCGGAGCCAAGGCGCCCTGACAGATGGGCAACGCCAGCGTCTCACCCGACAGCAGCACCACTTCCACGTTGCCCAGCGTCTTTGGCGGCGGCTTTGGCACTGGAAGCGAATCCAGGGCGCCGGAGATCGGGGTGATGTGAATCACCATCCTTGCCCAAGAAGCAATGCTTCAGAGCCAAAAGCTACGGTTGGATCGCGAAAAGTGGCTGTTTCGGGGGTATGTCCGATATTTCCTTTTGACAGTTCAATTTGTCACTGTATGGAGAGCTTGCCAGTTCTTGGCAGCCAGAAACGACACCTACACAAAGTAAACCGCTATAGGGACTGTGCTACACAAAAACGTAGGACGTTGAGAGCAAGCTCTGAAATATAAGCCCATCACTTCTTTCATTTGGCTATTTATTCATCACCGTTCATCACTTGTTATAGTAAATCTTATGAATCTGTACTGTCAATAACCATTGACACGGGTCAATCTTTGTGAATCACGATTCATTTGTGTTAAGTATTACAGTATGACTCATCATCATTGATCATAATGAATCATGATGAATCATGATGAACCAATAATCCACCCACATCCAGCATTTTTTGTGCCGGGTTGGCATCCCATGCCGAACGATTCTCGGTGCCTGCGGCGGTGTCTGCATCGCACTCATCGTCGAAGCGCCAGAGGGTCAAGCCAGCTGAGGTGAGGACCTGGCGGTGTACGGCTGACCTACAGGTGGTTATGGATCTTTACCCTCTGGTAAACTAACATAGCTATGGAAAATCACCATTTTTTATAGGTAAATCAACTATAATTGGCAATTTCCAGTCGCTATGTTAAATTGCCAGAGGGTACTCCTCCATGGGAATTTCATTGGGTTTTGATCACATGGGTCAGGCAGCAAAAACTTGATCAAAATGCTGGGATTCAACCAGCAAAAATTGTGAGCCAAAAAAATGTGCCTTTGAACCGGAAAAAATGGTCTGAACATGTCTGAAAAAAGGAAATTGACCAATAAAAACACGCAAATCGCCCAGGATGGGAATGGATGATCGAAGCGCTTAGTCGTTGATGCTGGGATACTGGATGATACTGGTCCGAGGGATCGCCACGATATCGAGGGCAGAATGAAACTGTTCCGCAACAAACAGCCATAGGAACGAGGATAGCTCTGAGCAGCAAAAAAGTGTGGTCATACCATACAAGTGATATCATCAAGTGATATTGCAAGATATTGTAAACATCGGTCAAGTCAGCCCCACACCAAAAATCCCGTAAATTGCCATAAATTGTTTCAAAACAGAGGAAATCAACGGCAGCTGCCAAAATCCAACATCCACCATCCCCTTGCCCTGTGATCCGCTGAGATCCCCGGCCCCAAACTCCTTGCCTTCCAAGACCTTCAGATCCAATGGCTCCTCCGCCAAGACGCTGCTGGCCCAGAGGCCATCGCAACGCCACAAATCCACCTTGGTGCTTTGGAGGATGGCAGAGTAGCAAACATCCAGTCGTTGCTAATAGAAAATGACCATAACAATGATACTTTTTGATACATGTTTTTCCAGTCTCGTGTCAGAATGGCGGAATTCAGGTTCAGACCAAAAAAGCGCAAGAAAAAGATGGACAAAATTCCCGTCTTTGGGGTGTGCCGGGCACATCACGGAGCCGGCCGAGGCACCCGAAACTCTCGGCCTCCACGAGGGCCCAGTGGCGCAGTGAGTGCCAGCTGACCGGAGAGCCGCAGGAGGCAGCCAGCCTAGATCTCCCAGGCCCTGCACCACGGTACACACTCCGAATGTATCAATTCTCAATGCGGCTATATTCTCCAATAAAAACCACGCCCAAGTATGTATATGTATGTATATGTATATATATATATATATGGTATATAGATGTGTATATATATATACATATATACACACATTATATGTGTGTGTGTATATGTATATGTATAATAGTATATTGTAGATATTTGTAGATTTGGTATTAAATATTACTAGTAAAACTAGTGGAACCAACCACGTTTGAAACTAGGGTTCCAGGCGAAATCACCATAGTCCGTCAGGGCAATCGTCTCTGGAACCGAGGCCGTAGAGGTCTCTGTGGCCGTGGTCCAGCTGCAGAGGCGCATCCTCAAAGAATGTTTTTTTTCAACGACTGCCCTCTGGTAATTAAGATAGCTATTGAAAATGACCATTTATAGTTGATTTTGGGATTTTCCATAGCTACGTTAGTTTATCAGAGGGTAATTGATCATAGATATCTTTAATCCACCACAAAAACATGGTTTTGAGATGTTTTGAGGATGGTTTAAGGTTTGATAAGGTTTGATATGTATGATTTCTCTCTCTGATTGAAGGGCAAGGGATGAGGAAGACTCCTGAAATAGGATTTGACGATCTTTGCCCCATGAGTTCGCCCAAGGTTGGGCACATCAGTCGATGTGCCCAAATCCCAGGTGCCCTCAGCATCTGAGGACCTGACTGGTTAGCCGAAGAGCACGCCTCATGTCGACCACTTTGGAAACCATTGGATCCACTGGGTATGGCAGGTATGGCAGCATGGCATGGCCCTGGGTTGCCCTCACAAAGACCGCTGCGAGCCGCTGGCCCTCCATCTCAACAGCCTCAGGCAGCTGCCACGGGGCCCAAGGTTTACTACAAAAATATGCCCATTTATAGATGGATTGTCCATTATAAACCATCCAGCTGGGGGGAAACCCCCATATTCATTGAAGGACATTGATGGATTATGAAGGACATTATACACCATCATTTATATCATTTATATTTAATTCGGACTCTTGCCGGCCATTGAAGGGAACATCAGCACGCATCAGCGCTGCATCCGAGGTGCAATCGCTTGCCACCGCTCGCCCTGGCGGACATCCACGAGCGCCGGGGCTTCCAACGGCGTGCCCTTTTTTTGCTAGAAATCCTCCATTGGCTTGATCTGAATTTGCAATCCAAAACGGATCTAAATAGAAGGCATATCAAAAAACCGGATCATCCTTCAAACTTTATCACCCAGGGAAACTTGATTGAACTAACATAGTATCAAATAGTTACATAGTTGTCGTATAGAAGAACATGAAGAAACTATTCAAACATTGAAACACCTCATGATTTTTCTATCCCCCCAAATGAGGAACCCCACCGAAAATCTGATGATTTCAGCCTTCCCCCAGCAGGTCCCAGCTGAGGCTGCCGAGGGTCGTGGTGGGAAAGTGATTTTTTTCCAACATGTTTCCAACATGTCGTTCGTTGATTTACCTATTCAAAATAGTGATGTTCCAAAGTTATGTTAGTTTACTCAAATTGACCTCATATTGTCAGGTCAGGAAACCATGACAGGAGGCAACCACTGCCCTGCTCCCGACGCCTCATCGTCTCGTGGCCTGACGTGCACTGCAGAATCTGCAGGATCTGCAGGATGGATTGGGGGGTAGGAAGCATCACCCCCACGTACAACCAACACATGGATCCAAACCATTTACAGTGCATGGCCATACTGAGGAGAAAAAACATCTCAAATCCAGCTTTTGAGATAGAGTCCCCATCTATTAGGCTGGGTCCGTTTTCTATCTGTTGAGCCCAAGGTGATAGCTGGGTGCCCCAGCATGGACAGCATCCTCCTGCTTGGTCCCGTCGCAGCGGCATGGTCCTGGTGTAGGCGCTACAAGGTACCTAGTAGGGATGGTTTCAGTAAATCATGTTGAATCCCTACAGAAGGATGAAAGCTCAATTCACCTACCTGAAACCCCGGAGCCAGAAGGCTCAGCAGGAGGGCAAAACCTCTTGGCAACATTGCAACTTTCCTCCAGACACACGTCGCCGCCCAGAACGTAACACAACCTCACAGGCAACTGCCATTCCAATGTCGAAGCCCCAAAGCCAAGCAGACCGTTCAAGCAAAAAGCATCACAAAGAATAACACGTGGAATGTGGAAGTGGAGAGTTTATGGACCTATTTTCCAAGGAGCATCAGCTAAGTCTAGTCCCGGCTGATTCATCCTCCGAATTAGCCATACATCATACAACATCATCCACCAGCATCAGCCATGCATCTTAGAGGTCACCAACTTCATGACCTCTACAGCTCAGCCACCTCAACGGCACGTCGCATGCGAAGCTTTGCGAAGTACTCAAGCTGCAGCCGTGGAAGCCTGTGCGGTTGGCTGAGAAAGGAAGGCTGTTTCCCTGAGATCTCTTGGATGATTCTTGCAAGTTTGCAAGTTTGTTCGACATTTACCCATCTTCCTCAATTGTCATCACTCCTCACCAATTTTCAGAGTTTAAACATGCGTCAAAATCATGTTTGGGACCCCCTGACACGCTCGCGAAGAGGGATCTCACATCCCACAAAAACATAGCCAGGTCCTCCAAAGGATACCAAAAGACTTGCAACTCCCAACACGACTATCCGACCCCACCCATGCCATTCCACAGCCTGCTAGCTCCAAGCTCCAGTGCTGTTCCCCTTCTGAAGCCTCTGGTTGCTGCGTCTTTCTTTTGGAGGTTCGTGGTAGGTTTCAATGGGGTCACCCGTCAAGGGGTGTCTTCATCATCTTCATCTCAGTTGGATCCACCTCCATCGTTGCTTTGCTGAATCCCAGTCTTTCTAGATTGTCTGCCATCATTATCATCATTTAAGCAATTCAATCCGATGTGTACCCTTCAGCAATCCCAGCCATAGACAATTCCTCTCATATATTTATATCATTTTTGTTCGTAGGTCATTCAACATCATTCAACCCATTTCCAACCTATGTTCAACCCATTTCAAAGATCTCTCTTTAAAAAAAAAAAAAGTTGGTTGAAGCCATGGTTCAAGCCATGGCTAACCGGGGATCGCCTTTGCGGCGAGGTCGGCACCAGCTTCGGCCGCTTCGGCCGCTTCGGCCGCTTCGGCCGCTTCGGCCGCTTCGGCCGCTTCGGCCGCTTCGGCCGCTTCGGCCGCTTCGGCCTCGGCGCCTCGGGCGGCAAAAAGTGACGAACAAATCATGGAATATCCAGATAGAATGGATAATGATTATGGTATAATATCTATATCTTCTATATTCTATATTCTATATATATATATCTAGAAAATATCTATGGTAGACTCATGAAAATCATTAACCCTTCAATGATGTATCTCCAGTATTGTTCATGGCATCCTTTCCATGGGATGAACAACAACTAATCGTGGATAGCTTCATAGCCCGTTCATACCCCATTTCGGGACGATTTTCCGGACAGGACATTGGAGATGTTCTATTATCGAAATGATAATAGCCAGTTTTTCTACCCAGTTGGATAGTATTAATGATAGTATATGATAGTATGATATATGTGCTTCATGGATTTAGAAAATCCATACATAACCCATATTAACCGTTATTAACCCCATAGCAGTTGATCTTTAATGTTGACAATGAACGTTCGCTGAAAAAAACCTCCAGCCCGGAGGGGGCCTGGTGAGGCCTCGGCCAAGGCTTCCACCATGGCTGAGGCTTCCTGGACGGAAAGCCAGACGTCACTGGGAATCCTGTAGGATTTAATGTGGTTCAACGGTGAAACATTGGGGCGCTTCACCATGAACGATTGGGGATCTAATGTTGTTTAATATTAATATGATTTAATATGATTTAACCATGGTAGTGTTTTTGATGGAGTTGAGTTGATGATAGTTGATGGATGCTTTTTTTAATTGACAAACTCTGGGTTTCAATCAGCCAAAAGTGTGGACATCAAGATGTCCGTGGGTTGCGGGATTTTTTTTCAAGGAAACCATGGATTCTGACGTCTGACCTTCATCCAATTCTGGGAAGACATGGTATGACCACTCGCAATTCATGACATCATGATTGTCTGATATCCCACTGCACCACTACCACCACCACAATCACTATAGTCACTATCACCACCGCCATCATCAAAATCATCAAAACAATACATAATCATCATCTTAACTTATATAAAACCGTAGTATCCGTCATGTTTTACCATGACCATTGATGATGCCCTTCTCTCAAAGCCTCGAGAACCGTTGCCTCAGGGCCCCCTTGCAACCCAAGCGTTGAACCTCCAGATTGCTGACCACGCTATCCAGTGTCTGCGGTGCCTCATCCAGCATTCGATCGATTCGATGTTACCCCACGACTCAAGTCCGACTCAAGAAAGAGCAGTTGAAATGACATGTTGAAATGTCCAAAAATCGGGGGAATATCAGGGAATATCCTAAGACAAACCATCGCCGGTTTGTCCCACAGCCGGTTTGTCCCACAGCCCAGGATTTGTTGGGACCCCTTGGATCAGCAGCCTCCGTGGTTGGCTCAGGCACTGCTCCCAACTTTTCCAGAAAGCTGACGGCTTCCTCTTCCGCCGCCAGGGTCATGGTCGCCGATGGCAACTCATCCACCTGGCCCACATGGCACAAACTCATCCAGTATGAGCCTCCAACAAGAAAAACCTTTACAAAGCAATTGGCACAAATCAAGAACTTCAAGTTTCATGACAATAACTACAGTATGTACATCATGTAAGATCTGATGTTCTATTGTCATATGGTAGTGTACATTCCTTTCTTCAAGCCTTGTTGTTGGAGACCCACCTTCTTCCTCACAGATTCCCTTTATACATCTGTGCACTAACACTAACACCTGAGGGGCTTCACTTCGTCCCCAGCCTCCAGAACTGGTGGCTTCTGCTCAAAGAAGTGTGCCATGCGCGGTGACAGTTCCTGACTTAGCAGCTCGGTCAGCTGTCCCCAGGCCAACTGCCACTGCGATTACCATCTGCCATGAGATGGGGGTCAAATGTCACTTGGGGGTGATGGTATATTTCAAGAAGTTGAAAACACCCCACCTAGTTCTGATGTGGATCACAACCAAGGAATATACAACAGCCTCCCATAAATGAGAATTGTATAAATTTTGGCACCATGACAAATCTCTGTCATTTTGTTCGATTCTCAACCACGTCCCACCTTCAAACGGGTCTGCACAAAACAACAAGTAACCAAAACCCAGCAATCCAGCAGTTCGTTACCTTTTCCCCTACGAAAAAGTGCGGTACATCGGCGGCCGCCCGGCTGTGCCCAATTAATGTCCATTTTCTGAACAAACCCAAGCCAATATCACAGTGTCAGTTCTAAATCAAAATATATCATAATATATCTTACCAAATCCCCATGATGATTGGCTTGATACTGTAGTTTAGACCCTTCATTTCTTGGATACGCTCGCTGAATTAGTCCAACATATCACAAACCCGAAAACCCGAAAACCCGAAAACCCGAAAATGCCACATTAAGGATGTAGATCAGTTTCCGGATTTCCCCATGGTTGCTGTCCATAGCGTTTTGCAAAAAACCTTTTGGAAGGTCAGCCATACCAGGTCCCCGCACCCAGCAGGCCAGCTCCGAGGAGCTTACTGAGACACAGCGGGCTGTGCCCGCGCCTTGTCGCAAGATGTTGATGAAATGGTCACTTGTTGACTGATGGGTTCATCTTTGGGTGTTTTGAATGCCGCAACTGGTTTTGTGCGATATTCATCCCATTTCAGTGGGATGTGTTCAGGACAAATAGATACGATCTCTACCAGGTTTTTTTTGCCGGATTTTGTGGGGATATTCCCTCACATAACCCTGAATCATAGGCTTTAGATATGGTACCTCCATGTACCTCCAATAAATCACTTCCTGAAACGGCGCCCCGCCTCTGCAGAGCAACAGCTGCTGAGATGCCGTGGCCTGTGACTATGGTTTCGATCGATGGGTACAAATGTATGGAAGCAACTTATTTCATGCACGTATTATATGTGTATGTATATATATATACACGTATATATATATATATATGTATGTATGCATTAGTGTATATAATTGTATAGATGTATATGGAATGATGTATATGAATGTACACCCCAGATCCCATGTTTGAAGATCAAATCACCCATGTTTCATTGGAAATATTGCTCCCAAGCCCCAGCAGGGGCACATGAGCTGCAAAGGTTTGCTCCAGGCCCACCTGAAATGGCAGGTCTTAGAGGATTTTGGGGCACCTGCCATCACCTCAGTAGTGGTTAATCATGGTTCAAACAGCTCTTAAAATTGGATGCTTGGCAAATGTTGGCAGAAAATCCCATCATCCGAAATCTGTGGCTTTAGAATGGGTAGAAATGGTTAGACTATGTCCTTTTTTGAATCATGACCCATCCGACGGACCCGGCCACATGAGCAAAATAGCATAGACACTACGTCACTACTCCATTGGATCATAGGGATCCGGGATGGACTTCCCCAACCGGGCGATACCGGGCGCCTCAGTGGACGTGATGTACAAGCGGGAGGTCCTTCAATGACATGGGGGTCAACCCAATCCCATGGATCCCATCATGTCCCATCGATGTTGAAGGTGTCTGTCGAACAAAAACAGGACATGATTTTGGTCCAAAGATGTGCAGGGTGGTATTTCCACCACAGGGAATCCAGGGGCTGAGCCCGCGAAGCCATTTCCATATGCCAACTGAATGTTATATATATATATATACAATATAAAATAATAATGATAAAAATAAGGATAAAAACAATAGTAATAATAGTAGTAGTAACAGTGATAACAGTAGTAATAATAGTAATAGTAATAATACTAGTAACAATACTAGTTATAATGCTGGTAATAACAATAGTAATAATAGTAGCAATAATAATAATAGTAATAATAGTAATAATAAATGTCAGTGCCGTGCCAGGATTGAAAATGATTGAAACACAGAAGCAGGAGCAGACCTTGCTGTAACATACTGTCTGTAAGTGTTTCTCGAATTTATGTCCATGTTCTGTTTGGATTTTATGAGGCGTTGTCATCTTGTCATTTCCTCCCAAGTCCATCCGGCTCCTGACCAAGCGGTCGACCTGGCACTTAGGATGGGCTTCGACAGGTCAGACATCCAAGGTTTACTGAGGCCGCCACCGATGCCACCATCAACATCCATGGCTGCCATTGCTCTCCATTCGCAGCTTCCAGCAGCAGCAGATCGCCTGCACAACTCGCGGTCCGTCCTTTGTGTCAAAGGTGTCATCCCAAGCGTAGTTTATAGTCACCGCCACTGTATGATCTTAGGAGGGAAGAACATATGGCAACTGGCAATGCTCTCCGCCAGGGATCCCTGCACATTCTGAAGCTGCTGGCAAACTATCAAATAGTGCTGATAAGCATCCACCGCCAGTAGGAACATCATTTAAGAGCTCAAGACTTTGGATGATCATAATTATAATGCCATTTCTTGTAATCCAATGAACATATGTCCAATCCTCAATCATCTCAATCATCTCAATCATCTCGCAGACATAGGTATAAAACTTACAAAATCATCCCTTCAAGTGGAAGTTTGGCGGTTTAAAAACCATGGCCCGGCGCTTCACTCGGCTGAAGCCTCGGCGCTGGGTTCCCCCGACACGCTGGGCTACTGGACCATGCGCAGCTGAAGACATGACTTCCGCCCTCCGCCTGGCAGGTCGCCAAATCCACCGGAAATCCAGTGGTGATGCAACCGATGAATGGGATAAATATGGATAAATCATTAAACCAAGAATCCAATGATCAATATAAAATCTCTATTTTTTTGTATCAAATCATGGTTTTATGATGTTTTATGATAATTATGATTAAAACCCACATGGATTATGTCGATAAATAACTGATCATTGATATCATAGGTGTTTTACATCGCCCGCAGTGATGGCTTCTGGGGTAATCAGCTTTTTTTCAGGGTGCTGGTTGCTACTTGCATCCACCAGTCATGGTTTTGATTCTGACGCCTCCTTTTTGGTTTACTTTCTCACTGGCTCTGAAGTTGAACTGCCATTTCTCGCTGTATCTTGGGTCACGTTCATACTATATAATTACGCTGGCTTCAACGTCAAGCTAAACTGAATTCCGGGGAAGGGCGAATTTGCAGCAATCCTGTATCTGCAAATTGGCAAATCTTCCATCTTCAATTCCAATCATGTCCCATCCGCCTCAAAGACGTGAATGCGTTTGTTCTCCCCACCTCGAAAGTTCGACAACCAGAGGTGTCAAGAGGCTAAGGGTCAAGAACCTGTCAGCACAATGAATCTATTTTCTGGATGTTTCTGGCAACAATAGATCTTTAATGATCTTTAGCCCACAAACCGGAAAATCATGACACATCTCCAAAAATCTCATGGGTTTCAGGGTCATCCCAAGCTACCCGGCCCAGCACTGCATAGCGCCCATGCCAGGAGAACGAAGAGCTTGACACCTGGAACCGGCCCTGGATCCCTAATCACAAATCACTCAGCCATTAGACTGGTGCTTTCAACCCTACTGGGGCACAATCATATTGATATTCCTATTCATTGATATTCATTGATATTCATTGATATTCATTGATATTCATTGATATTCATTGATATTCCTAGGTTCAATCATTCAAAATCAGGTTTAACTTTAGCCATCTTTAGCCATCAAACGTTTGGATTGAACCTAGGAATATCAATGAGTAAGGGATGTGGGTTTGTCCAGCGCTGAACCCAATATTGCCACATCAAAAAGGGCCACATTGGGAAATTTGAATTGTGGAAAGTACATCTTCAGATTTACTCCTCATTTCCTGGCTCATTCTTAGCACAATAGAGGTTGGTGTCCCCCGCCCTTCACCTCTCGGCGCACCATGGCGCACCTTAGACCCTTCAGACGCACTGATCATGGCGACCGAACGGCCGTCCAACAAGTTCAGCAACACCTGCAGGATGAATTCGCAGATTTTAGACCTGAATCATATGTTTTTTTCAACATGAAACATGCTTTAGTTTACTGGAGGCTTCTGGAACTCTGGAATTCTGGAATAGGAAACGGAAAGCATCAGGTGGAAAGGGAGAAGAATTGTGAGCTTGCGTGCCATCACTATATAATATTAGTGCCATCATCAATCAATCAATAACACTGCGGCGTAGCTAGTGTGCTGAATGTGTGCGATACATCAAGGTGCTGAGCTGAAGCTGCCATGATGAGTGGTGCCAAGGCAAGCAATACGTTCACAATAAACTTCAAGCTACACTCCGGTTATTTAACATAGCTATGGAAAATTGCCCATTTACAGATGATTTTCCCATTAAAACCTCCATTTATAGTGGATTTTCCATAGCTATGTTAAATAACCAGATGGTAGTCCCACACTCCCAAATTTGGTAAGTTTGGAGATTCCAGCCGTGCAATGGCTAGATCAGTCTGAGTCACATGTGTTGATCAAAAAGTATGTTCACTCCTCATTTTCCCAGAATTCTTGAGCGCTCCGAACCCCAACGTTTTGCTTGAAAAACAAAAAAAAACGCTGGTGATTTAACGTAGCTATCGAAAATCACGGGATGATTTCCATATTTTTTTCCAATCATCATGTTTATCATCGAACTATATTCACTATATGGAACTCAATGGGCCATGGCTTCCACAATGAGCAGAACTCCACCAGTCATTTCGCTGGTCCCCCGGCGGCGGAACGACTCCCTGCGGGCCATAGGAGCCTGTCCATGGGAGGTCATACATCGGGTGTGTATATATAATTATATATGTGTGTGTGTGTGTGTACATGATTTTTTTTGCTGTCGCTCATTGTTGCATCTGCAGCGGCTCTGCTAGGTTCGGTGAATTCGAAAAGCTGTGAAATGAAAAATTAACCCCCGGCATAATCCTTGCCAATGGTGTGTCCGAAAGATGACGCTTGCATGGATCGGCACAATTGGACAAATGCTTCGGGGGGTGAAGGCAAATCGTCCGCAGCCTCACAGCTGGCAAAAGCGGCACGAATTGCCGAAGAAATGGCCCGGCAGAAAGCCGGCGCATACTCTTTTAGAGTCGTTGTGCGCCAAGCTCCTGTTTCATCTTTCCCAACGGCCCTATGCCGGGGAAGTTCCCTACGAACTCTGTACTTGTGCAGGAAGGACATCATGGCCGGCAGGTTCACGCACATGAGTTCCGTAGGTTTGGGTGATCTGGATCCCATGAGGCCTTGTGCAAATGTCAGTCTCTGCACTCCTGGGAGCATCTGCAGCACCTGGACTATCGGTAGCTTCCAAATTGAAGCAGATCCTTCCAAGTCTGTAGGTTCAGCCGGGTGCTCAAGCATGCCTACGCTGCCTGCCATTGCCGTCTCCATGAGTGCTTCAAGAGAAAAACATAGGAGGCAGTTCCCAATGTTGACTTGCTTGATCTCCCGAATTGCTAAGCAGTTATACCCCCAAAGGTAGTCTTCGTCACGTAGCACGCGAGGAAGATGCTGTTGAGGTTGTTCTGCTTGCTGCTCTTCGGATGCCGAATTGACACTTCTCACACGCGACCACGTTTCGCATGGTGGGCCCGCGAGAAATGCGAGCACAAAGCGCTCGCGGATCGCGTTCATCCACAGCTGCCTCGTAGACGCTTTGGATGCATCTCCCCATGTGGCGTCAATCACGATGTCAAGGGAGACGACCGTGATGAAGTATGCATCATCTGCATGCCTGTCCCTTTCCAAATAGTATTGGACGTCTCCCACACGCCTTCTGCCTGCGAAGGCATTCAGGATGATCCGATGTCGTCCAAACAGTTTTGGAATTGCCGGCATCTGTGGCATTTGGCCCAACTCCTGCTGTAACGTCTTCAGCGATTCATGGTAATGTTGGATAGGTTTGGAGGTCATTCTGTGTGCAGAGGTCTGACTTCCAAAATGCCATGTTGCCGGGCTGCTAAAGGCGGCAAAGATGTCATGCACGCGCTTCAATGCAAAACCAAATACGTTCGCATCTGCCTCATCGATATTGGTCACAAAAAAATGGAAAGTGCTTTGCGCCCTTGTCCATGAAATTGCATTCTCCTTAATGTGGCCATAGATCGCGTCATGCAAGCTCGTCTGCTCCACTTCCTTGTCCTGGTGGTCCACAAAGAAGTCCACCAGGAAGATGTAGAGCTTGTCGTCAATGTCCTGAAATTCACGGCGTCCAGGATCTGGGAGTCGAGGACCAGCTGCTTGAAGTGGTGGAAGCATGCGATCGTGGTTCCTAACCAATTCATTGTCTGCAAGGGAACCAACTCCTGGTTGTGCTTCATGGCCTCCTCCTCTGGAAAGCAATAGGTGTCTACACTCATGTGAATAGTAGAGATGCGCTTTGATTCTGCCATAGGTGTGGAACTCCTTGAGGCATGCTTCACACTGCGTGCCATCGAAAAGACTTCTCACGATCGACTGTTGCCCATGAACTCGAAACATATGAGCTGCTTCGCCTGCTTTGTTCTTGCATCTCAGTCCACAGCTCAAACATCCGTAGAATGCTTGCTCTTCTACCTGCTTCTGTTCTGGCATCTCCCATTGCACGTTTCCCAACCAATCATCATAATGCTCATGTAGTCTGTTGCACATGCGCAGAAGAGAGGTGGTTACAAGGTGCTGTTTCTGGATCTGCATGGTCTCATGAAGACAGGCTCTGTTGACCAGTTTTTTCCAATAGGAAGAATGATGACTGATCAAATCGAACCATTGGTCCGGATGTTGACTGGGATCCTTCAAGGCTGAAGCCCGTCTCAGTTGCTCCCACATCCACTTCATGTCGTCCTCAATGACCTGTACCCATTGTCTATCGGCCCCTAGTAGATGCCAAAGATCTGGAACAGCGCAGCGGAGAAGCACAGAAAGATACCGCAATCGAGATCTCCTCAAAAGCGTTGTAGGGGTAGGCAGAGAGGTTGATGCAATGATCTCTTGATCCATGATGTGCGTGTCTGGTTTGATTTTCAGCAGGCGTCGATACAAACGTAGAATGGCAGCCTCAAACTTGCGCATAGTGCGAATGTCACCTGCAATCCATGAATCTGCTCCATACAGTACCTTCGTGAGGATCAGGGTGTTGAAGATTTCATGTCTCTTCTGCACTTCGATGTGGTCATTGTGGTAGAGTAAGCGCCGATGCTGGTTGAAGGCTCCATGGCCGATTGCCAAACGTTGCGCAACTTCACGTGCTTGATCACCGGTGTGGTGTAGCACACCGCCTAAATGGCGGTACTCTTTGACGAGCGAGATTTTCTGCGTCTGCCTCTCACAAATCACTGTGAACGTGCCGGCTGTCTGCGGCCCGTAGTGTTTGACCTTCATCTTGCGACTTCCTGGGCCATGAAAACTAAGTAGAAGCTCTGTTTTGCCTCTGCTCAGATTCGGTGACATCAAATGCTGTTCGCACAAGTCTAGAAGGTAGCTGATGGCAGGGCCGATGGTGCTTTCTAGGCCTTGAGCAGTATGATGTTGGACGCACAGGCACAAATCGTCCATCCACGTTGGCCCTAGGAAAGGCTTGTTCACATGGTCGGTGATCTCAGGCGCAAAGAATGGTGGTCTTTGCATGGTTGTGATCTGTGCAATGAGCTCATGATCGATGAGGAAGTCCTGAAGCCTCTTCAACACCATGCTCCATGTGAAGCCAAAGATCACGTCGGCGAACGAATCGCCTGGGCGCGTGCCAAGGCTCGTCTCTACCACATCTTTCTGTTCCGCTTGCCAAAAGTATGTATTGCTGTGTATTGCACGAAAGCAATTCCTGGCTGTGGCGCTGAGACCCGCATGTTCCAAAGCCGTTCCATTGTCAAGGACTGCATGGAGCTGGTGCATTGAATCAGCAGGCAGTCGCAACTTGCGGAACACATAGCTCGGCAACTCATCTGTGGGCGTGCCTCCCATGGAGAGCTCCCGCAAGATGCGGTAGAACGCTTCTGTCAGGTCAAGGAATAACAGCCCTGCTGACAAGTGCTGCTCCCTGGCACGCCTCAAAAAGGCCCTTGCTTGATGCAGTGCCATCTGCACCGGTACTTTCCTTCGGCCTCCGAGCTGTTGACCTTGTAGGTACTTTTCGTAGGCCTCTGCTTTGTGCTGCCGGATGCAGCGATGAATCACTTTGCCCAAGTGTGATGAGATTAACAGGGACCGGAAAGAATTGACTCTATGAGTCGGTCCTTTGCCTTTATATGCCGGCACTAGCAAACCTCCTTTGAACAGGAGGGGCTCCTGTCCATGGAGGATCAGCTTCAACATCTGTGTGTATGTCGCTGGCGCTAGGAGCTCTGGGTGGAATCTGCATATCTCTCCCGGAACACCATCAGGACCGGTGGCTTTCTTGCAAGCAACTCGCCTGTACGCCAGCTCCATCTCGGTGAGCGTTGGCACCTCCTCCATGGTAAGCTGGAAATCGGCCTGGCGGAAGGACTGAAGGCAGCCAATCCACTGTTGTCGCAGTTGTGCTTCTGTCACTCTCTGGCCGCCTTCCATATCTCTGAAAAAGTCCACCCAGACCGCCAGAGCTTCTGTGGGGAGAGTGCATGGTTGATCTTCTGCATTGTGAATCAGTGGCAGCGTCGCCTTCTTCTGCTTTCGCGGGTTTGTTGGCCCGATGAACGGCTTCAACTCCTTAAGGATGTCCGCTGCCGCACTGTTCTCATGCAGTTGGCTTAATCTCTTTTGCAGGAGTGCTGACTTAGAGATCTGTAGCTTGGCTCTCATCAGCTTGCGATATCTGCAGAATCCTAGGTACATCTTCACTTGGCTGCAACGCAAGCTGGTGCCATAGTTGAAGAACTGCGCAAAGTCGGTTGTGCTTGCTCTGTTTGTCCACGCCTTGAAGACCTGGTAGAGCGTCTCTGCCGCCAGTCTACGTCTGATTTCTTTCGTGATCTGCCTGCATTGGAGCTTCTGCAATCGAAGTTGCCAGACTTCAGGGGTCACGTATGCTTTCTTGGCACTGGCCACTTGCTGTGTGCGCAGAGAGCCCATGGATTGCTGAAGATGTTGAACCAGTTGACCTGCTTGCTGTTCTACATCGACGTCCCAGGACTCCGGCTGATACTTGATCAACCCCTCCTTGATGATGGGATCTTTGAAGTCAATGTTGAGGCCAACTTTCTTTTGCTTCTTGTGCTTGTACTGCTGGATACGTGCATCCCATTGCAGTTGAAGAGTCACTGCGCGGTGGTCTTCATGCCGTTGTGCAAGGTCAAAGTCTGCTAGCACTTGTGAATGTGTGCATCTCGACAGCCACTGGTGCGGGATCGCAATGTGGTCAATGCAATGCATCTTTGTTCCATCTGGCGCTGTCCACGTGTTGTTGTCGCCAGTGTGGCACATCGTTGTGGCTGGCAAACAGAGATCACGTTCATGTAGTGCTGCACGAAATAGTGGCGTATTGCTTGAAGTCGCAAAACCTGGTCTGTGCACTGCTTTGCCATCAGCTTCTCCTGGTGCCGCATTTGCATCCAGAAGCCATAGCATAGGAGCTTCATCACAGTGTTCCTGCAGGATGCGCCTTGTTTCTTCCCACCATTGTGTGCGTTCTGTTTGGGTTTTACCACTGTGTGGCGCATGCGCGATGAAGAACCAACAGTCCAGCAAAGGATGGTCGCAGCGGAGTAGCATGCGTCTAGGATCACCATGTACAACGCAAAAGGTGTTGCGGGTCAATTTGTGCTCAATGTATTTGTGCTTTCTTCTCTGCCATCCAATTGGTTGGTC